TGACGATTTCATTGCCGCGGTCAAAATTCACGGCTTTTCAAGGTGGGAATGTCTTTTATAAGCTAAAAATCACGGTTCAAGGTCAACGAAAAAAATCCCGGTAATTTCCCGATTTCCCGGTCCACTACGAACCCTGCAGCAAGCAGACACTTCTCTCATGTTCTATTTGCTGCATACAATTATATTCTCTATTCTTTCACTTAGCTTTACTACATTATTGCCCTTTTTTAAAATCCTGGTCATGGATTTACTCCTCCTGAATGTCTATTGCGGCACTCTGAGGATGGTCTCCGAGATCCTGGCAGAACAGCAATAATTGGAGTGGCCACACTTAAACTGGCGATACCAGTCTTTTACTGAAACCTGGCAAGAATTTCTATGACAATGTCAAGGTCAAGACAGAAGATACTATTTTTTAAAAACGTCTCCACGGAACAGTTAGTAGAGGTTGCTTTAAATGGCTGCTGTCGGGGAGCAACTGAGTTGCAAGTACACATAGTGACAATTAATCACTTTATTTATTTGGTATAATAACTTGTGTTGCATGCAGCATTTGACAACTACAATTTATTAATTTTTTTAATGAAGACAAAACCCGCATAATAATCACAGCATTACTTTCAAAATTGCAAATGATACTCATAACGACTCAGTCAAAATGTTAAATGAAAAATTAGCGAAAGCGATCTTGAAGAAAAAAAAACGTATGCAGGTATGGCAAAACTGGATAGATAAAACAGCACTGAAGACTTGCCTACATCAAACTAAATAAATCTATCACATGATTTCTAAAACACAGACATCTGACTATGACTCAATATACAGACAAAACATCAAATATAAAGCAATGAGACAAAACTAGTAAAGCATGAACATCTGTGTAACAGGCTCTCAATGATCTGCTGAGAACTGCCCCATACAAGCTGACTATAAAATGGTGAACATACAACATGTCAGGTTGCACAACCTCTTCCCTGTCCTTCACAAATATTTTAAAATATATATACAGTTGCAAAGAACAACTTTCAAAGCACAGCATGCAATTCGTTTCTTATTATAATTAATCAATCTTAAATGGAATCAAATCTTGCACCTTGCAAATAAAATACAAGTTTCTGAATAAATAAATACATGCCTGGAATAAGTATTCGCAGTGCTGTTTGCAAATTGAATAACATGCAGTTTTAACAGTTACATTTTCTGAGGAAAATATGCACCATATTTACAGAAAGTAGACATTTTATTCGTGAATCATGTTGTAATTTTGTGAAAGTGACCTCTCTCTTTATTTAATATAACAACAAATACGAGACAAGCAATTTATCTTCCACTTGTGGGTTATACATAGTGATGCAATACTCCCTACCATACATATAACATGTGCATAGGAAAATACATACATATGTGTAAAAGCAGCTGATTAAGTTAATTTATCAAAGCAAAACACTAACCAACAATAACTAAAGTGCTCTGAGGCAATAATAATTCTTTCTTTCTTATTTTGTCTATATTGCTTGTGGTGCAAATTACCATAGAGCTGTCGTTTTCTGGATACTGCAAGTTGTGTAGCTTGACCTACTGCTGTTAAATTTTACTTATGAATCTCTGGTTTCTGACTCAGCCTTGCCATTTGTTCCTGGGTCAACACACTTGCTATTTGTTCCTGTGTAAACACACTTTCCAGCTGTACCTGGGTAAACACACTTTCCAGCTGTACCTGGGTAAACACACTTTCCAGCTGTACCTGGGTAAACACACTTGCCAGCTGTACCTGGGTAAACACACTTGCCAGCTGTACCTGGGTAAACACACTTTCCAGCTGTACCTGGGTAAACACACTTTCCAGATGTACCTGGGTAAACACACTTTCCAGATGTACCTGGGTAAACACACTTTCCAGCTGTTCCTGGTACAAACTAAATATGTTAACCTTTTGACAAGTGACATAATGGAAGAAAGAAAGCTTTCTGGAAATCTATTTCTTAAGCCACACATTCTTAATATTTGTTCAGACTATCTATAGAAAGATTCCCAGAATATCTTGGACAAAGAAGAGAGTGAATAATGACATCTTGAAAGATCTGAACATCAAGGAAGATTGGCTAATAAACAGCATCCTGTCTCAGAAGCTGAAGTATTTGAAATATATACTGAATGAGATAAGCTTAACAAAGGTAAAGAAAAGAGAGATGTCTGGACAACTGCTTATATTAACAGTTATACAACAAAGAAGATGCAGGCAGAGAATCATCAAACAGGCACTGAAATATGAAACAAATGGACTGAAGAAACAAGAACATCTAAGAGAAGTGATGAAAGAGGCAAATGGTTCTGGACTGGATTCCATCTGGGATGTAGAAAAGAATGCACACGATAGATTGGAACTATTGAATAGACTGCTAGCACCATGATTTATGACACTATAACAAGATAATGATGATGAATGTTGAAATATTTCAACTCAATCCATGATCCTACTTGATATCAACTGACAAAAAATCAGCTATAATCACTTCACTAAGACGTGATTTGAAGAAGTATAATGAACGTACTATATATGTACACTAATTAAAATGACCATCAGATGCCAACATAAAAAAGAAATGATCGTGAAAGTTGAATCTAGTGCGCCTCTTGAAAGCTACGATCAAACAGGGAGCTAAGAATCAACAAATCATGAAAAATGACAAGTTCAGCAACAAAATTCTCATGAGAGAAAAAAAAAACACACCAAAAAGCAAATAAATAAAATAAAATGATAAAAAATGACTTCGGGTAAAAGAAATCCTTCGAGATCATAGCTACATCTACGGAGTTCGTGCTCTGTGTGACACTCTCGGCAGGCTGATAGCCATTCTGCATAGAGAGACAGAGCCATATGGGATCAATCCTGGTACAATTAAGTATATCTTCTTAACTCAACCATAACCTACAAAAAAATGACCTATCAGTTGACGAAATGAATAAATATTTGTCAATAAAATTCCAACATAAATTTACTGAATATGTGCATAAATTATCATGTTTATACAGCACGGGTTAACAAAAATTGGCATGAAATGTGTGAAAAAATAGCAGGTGCCTATAGCAGTAAACCAAGACAATGAAATCATCATCATCATCTGCTGTTATCAGGTGGCACAAAAAACACGCTCATCTCCAGGTATCTCTTGTCTCTGTGCGCTTGATCGGTGTGACCACTGCAAGAAATTTAGCTTCCAGGTCACTTATCAAGAACAGAACACAATCCACTGATGGACACAGCCCCTTGATTTGGTCAAAAGATTAAATAAGCCTGGTATCAATGCATGGTTTAATCAGATGCAGTGATTCTCGGTTATGAAGTAACTTAGCAAAACACAAACTACAACTAGAAAATTCAAGAAACAGAAGGGTAAAGAGAAAAAATACAACTAATGTGTCCAACTAAGTCTTTATTAATGAATAACAGAAATTAAAAAAAAAAACGAATCAAAGACCAGAAAGGTCACAGAATAAAAAACAAGGAAAAAGAGTACCTACCTTACAGAGCTGGTGAAATTAAACTCTTAATAACGAATGGATCAGGGAAAAGAGAAGAATGTTATAAATAACAAATGTATAAACATAAAGATTTCTAGCCATAATGTGGTGTTGTGTTTCATCAGCTCATCTGCAGTCACTTCTGTGTGGACCTGCAGTCACTTCTGTGTAGACCTGCAGTCACTTCTGTGTGGACCTGCAGTCACTTCTGTGTGGAACTGCAGTCACTTCTTGTTTGGACCTGCAGTCACTTCTGCAAGGACCTGCAGCCACTTCTTGTTTGGACCTGCAGTCACTTCTGCATGGACCTGCAGCCACTTCTTGTTTGGACCTGCAGTCACTTCTGCGTGGACCTGCAGCCACTTCTTGTTTGGACCTGCAGTCACTTCTGTGTGGACCTGCAGTCACTTCTGTGTGGACCTGCAGTCACTTCTGTGTGGACCTGCAGTCACTTCTGTGTGGATCTGCAGTCACTTCTGCGTGGACCTGCAGTCACTTTTGTTTGGACCTGCAGTCACTTCTGTGTGGACCTGCAGTCACTTCTGTGTGGACCTGCAGTCACTTCTGTGTGGACCTGCAGTCACTTCTGTGTGGACCTGCAGTCACTTCTGTGTGGACTTCTCAGAGTGGTGCATAAATAAAATAATGTATTCATTTTCTAAAGTCTTATCTTCCATTTCATGTGATGCCTGTTTTGATGCAGTCACTGGCAATGTAACTGAATTGTTATTTGTTTCAATTCCAAGACATCTTAACAGTCTCTGAATAATAGGTTTAGTTGATCTTTAAAAAAAAAAACACACACATAACATTGCAACTACATATGCCTTAGTCCTTTAGCTTTACAAAATACGTTCTTTAATAAAACATTAACTCAAAAGGGGGACCTTAAATACACATGTATTTGCAGAAAATGACTGCCCTCTCCAAGCTGTCTACATTAAACACACAAATGTTCAATGTATTCATTTCTGATTAAGGTTAACAAACCTCACAATGTAAAAGGACACTACTGTTTCCTAAGCTCAAGATAAGCTGGATCTTAGCAAAATTAGGATTGGAAAAAATACTATGCATTATCTAGAACATACACATTACTTAAATATTACTATTTAACCTCAAATAAATAAATATACAGTGATGTAAAAATTAATAGTTTTAAAAATTAATCAGAAACAACTGGCTACTTACATGATGTCTAAGCAAGTGAAAATATAAAAAGAAAACCCCCTGACACCTGACTCCTGCCCATGAGAAAGAACTGTCCTTTATTTCAATCGACAATGTTTAAAACCAAGGCTTATGCCAGTTACACTGAAGAGGCTTATCAATGAACGCAGACGTGACTGAAGAAGTGATTTGATCTGCCATCAGTAACATCAAGAACTGCGAGATATATTTACTACTTATATTTACTTTTTTCTGCTGTTTATTTCCCTAGAAAATATGCACTACTGTTTTCAGCACACCACAAAAAGCTACACTCTTGTCACATCCATGCTTTTTCCTTTCTTGTTTTTCTTCTTTCCCTTAGCATGATTTGTGTTTGATGGCACCGGGCTCAACACTGCTTTAGTGTCTAACTTTCGCTGCGAGACTGTTGTTGTTGCTGCAGTTGTGTCTTTGGATACTGCCAGTGTATGCACACTTGACGGGTTGTTTTCTTTGACAGCCATATCAGAGTCTCTATTATATTCACATGAATGTGCCTGCTCTACATTCAGCGATTCTAATCTGGCCAGATTTCCTGGCAGGGATGAGAGGTCATTGCCACTGCAGCTGTAGTCGGTGCCCACTCCACTGTCTGGCAAACTTTCAATAGAGGTTTTCAAATCTCCTCCAGCGGAAGGAGACGAGGTCTCCCCATCTGACATTTGGCAGCCAGATGGCATTTCATCCTGTGACGAGAACGTCTCAGCTTGATCCGAGGACACGCTAGCCATCTTTGTAAAACTGGAACTGCTCTGCAGCTGTGAAGATGATGAACATGAAGCAGGCACTGGTATAAAGGATGTCAGGGAGGCAGATTTGCCTTTCAAGGGTGACTGGTGAAGGCCAGCCTCTTGAGGTTGCCTGTTTGTACTGGCAGCCACATCTAAGTGTGTTTTCACGGACTTAGAAGGTGAGATCTGGTGACTAACATCTTCCATGCTCTTGCTCAGAGACTGTGCTGTCCGCTTCTCCTGTTTGCTGACCTCTGGCTGTTGGGAGACTTGGGGTAAATTCAACTCCTGTTTCGCAGTAGTGCTTCCACTAGCTCCATCTTCTTTCAACTGCTGCTTCTGATGTACTGGTTTTATAGGACTGGGTTTTTGGTTAACACCTGGCACTTCTTGACTGGCAGTTTTCTTGTTAGCAACAGAAGGAGAAGATGAAGCCTTAGCAACAGATGGCGACTGTAACTGAAGATTATAGTTTTCAAAGTCCAGGTTTCTGTCACAAGCATCTGTTGAAGCTGTGGATGCATAGGATGGCACTGGGCAGGATGCAGAGTATGATTCGTGAGTCAGGCATGAGGTGGTCTGTGAGGCCATTTCGGAGGATGTTACAGAGGACTGTGGCAAGTAAGAATGTGAGGTCGCTGCTGAGGCGTTTGAAGAAGTCTGTGTCAAAGCAGATACTGAGGCTGAAGATGACAATGAAGAGGTACATGCAGCTGTCGGGGCTGATGTTTTTATTGTTGGATTCTGTTGTGGTGTTGGTGAGGTTGATGTAGGCTTTACAGAAGCACCAGCTGACTGTCGGATGATCAACTCAGGTCCTCCACCATAAGTCCTGTGCAAAAACAGCCACATATCCCTAGACAGCTGTCCATAGTCTGATGCCTGTCTCAAGGTTGGCTGCCCATTCTTGTAAACAACAATACGGTTGTTCTCAATAGGACCAGGGGGTACTACAAAATAAGAATAAAAGCAATTATATTAACACACATTATGTAAGCATACGTATGTTATCACAGCAGTTAAATAAGTTACAAAACTGGACAAAGAAGTTAACATCAGCAATGAACAGTGCTCAGATTTCCCCCTCTGTATAAACCCCAGTGCCCGGTGGCTAATAGTACCAGTTCTATGTTGATTAACAAGTCCTCTGATGTGCAGGTGTGGGTCTCATTTTTAAAATAATGATCTTAACTCCAAAGTCTATCATTCTGGCACATGACATGGATCACTGCCCTTGAAGTTCTCCACCCTTCCCATTTCTCGGAGGGCATTAATAATATTAGCATGATTCGTAGGCTGACTGTCTGTAGTGATAGCGGATCCAGCCAACCTAACAACTCTTTCATTTCCATCGGCACCTGCATGTCCAGGAACGAAAATAAAGGGGACTCTATGCATAGTGGATTTCTCTAATGACTCAAACCACTGCCTTTGCACTGAACCTGCCTGAACCCTCCGGATCATTCTCATTGAATCACTGAGTACACATGCGTAGGTGTAGTTTTGTGTTTCGAGCCATGCAAACGCTTGGTTTATTGCAGTAATGAAGTAATGAACTCACACCACTGGTCAGTTTTCTTCTTCATTCCAATCACTTTTGTTCAGCAAGACAAGGGAAACAACTCTGCATGTAAATGTTTGTCTGTGTGGACATTTTCCATGCATCAGGCGTATTGGGCATAACGGGCTAAACTATATTTCATAGACAAATCAGCAATCAGTGGGTGATGTGATCAGCATCAGCTGACGGCATTTACTTGCCAGGACTTTAGCTGGTACCAAATGAAGGCTGGCTCAATATTTGAGTTGAGCCAAGATTATTTTTAAAAATCTGGCTCCCTCGGGACCTGCACCTACGATCTCGAGATCAGCAGGCCAGCATCTAGCTGCTACACCACGGCGGCTCCCATGTCTCAATCCAAAACTGATTTAGCAGTTAGTGGTTTCTAGAAAAAGGCGGCCTGATAAGGCACCTCAAAAGTAGAGATCAAAGAACACTGATCACTATATAGCACAATCAACATTGTGCTGCCATTCTCTTATTACATTCAACTTACAGATGTGCCAAAAATGTACTTTCATATACACACAAATTTCAGGAATGGCCACAGAAACATGCAATTCAACCTAAACTCCTTGTGTGGGTTCCGGGGTCCCGCTGCGGAAAAAACAACAAGAATCGACCAACTGCATCCCCAGAAAGCACGTCCTAAGAGTCAACAAATTGGGAGCTTGGTTCAAAGTTGGAGTGCATCTGCCTCAGAGGCAAGGAACCAACAGTCAACATTTAAACAAGATCTGTGAAACACTCAGGTTCTTGAACCAGAGGTGGATGAACAACCAGAATTTTCTGCTGGAGTTTACAGCTGATTTACGCGAAGAAGAACCTCAATGTTATCAGAAAAATACAACAAACAACACATAAAAATCGTGTGGTTTTTTTTAAATGCTCAGAAACCATAACATGTGCATGCACTTTGCATGCATAATTTATTTGTCGCCAAGGAAATCTCTAAAAGAAACAAATCAGATGTGGCCAAACAAAAGAGAGAATCAAATTTTGGTATGGTCTGTACTTTCTAAGTTTCATATCTAGCAGGCAAAGCTCCATTTTGCTTTTGTACATAATAAACGGAATAGTACTCGGAATAGCCTTTAAATTGATACATAATATGTCCTAGTATATTATTTGGAAACAGCGGTCGCTGTGTGTCAAACATTCCCAACTTATTTTTGTTTAAAATGTATGTATGTAAGTTGCACCCCACCAGGACTTCACACAAGTGATAAAACACCCGGTGATACAAAGTGCCACCATGTGGATAAGGATCACCCGTGGAGAAGTCCCGGAAACCCTGTACAGCCGTTAGGCCATATTTCAGGCCCGGCTATAATTAGGGTACCCGGCAAAAGCCAGGGTGGGGCTTCAAAATAACTAAAAACTGCATCCCACAATGGGTTGATGAGGTTATTAATGTTTAAAATTTCGTTTCTATTACAGATATTCATTTACACTTGTTAATGCTAAACTGCTTACAAATTAGAAAAAGGGTGTGTGTGTACAATCGATTGAATGTTGAACTTTACAAAAACCAACAAATTAAAAATCAATACTTCTGTGATAAACTAAAAAAAAAGCTGTTTCGTGGCTCCTTAAAAAGATGAGAAGAGCTGCGGTGACACACAGTTCTGGACTTCAGAATGTGGTTTTTCCAAATTCAGAATTGTGTATGCATTTTACAGAACAGAGAAAACTAGGTCCCTGGTCTTCCACCTCAAACTTAGGCCTAGCAGAACAAAGCCACTTAAAATCCCCTTGAATGAAGTCCAAACATCAGTACCCTTGTACATTGTTTAGATGACAAGAATCAAAATAACACTGACCAGATTTTGTGGCACTGATAGTCAGATGTGTACGCAATCAACCTCAAGGGAAGACAACCTTTACTGGGTGATTATTTCCCCCTGAGGATTATATTTTTTTTAAGCTGCAGGCTAGGAGATAGTGTTTACACCTGTCTGTTAGCAAACTGACCTGGACTAGGTGTCACAGAACCTGGCAGGCTGAAGATGGGACAGGAAGGTGTGGCTTCGTTTATGGCCACAGAAAGCTATGACCAGCTTGACGGACCCTAGGACTATAACCCAGGGTTGGCAAGCGAATGCTTTAGCATTTCTCCTCATTGACTGACAGCTAGTGCATAACACTCAGTGGGTGGAGTCTGACATACCTTGAATGAGAGTTGTTTAGGAAGAGAAAGAGGAGGAGCTTAGAAACCTGCATTTAAAACAGACAACCTGCCAGGGAAACATGCAACAATAAGATGTAGATTATCAAAAGATTCATGTCACATCTGAAAAAGCTCAGCTAACCACAGACAGGGGTTAATCTAAGAACATCGACATGCAGTAAACATTCACAAACAATATTTGCAGCAATATAGTAGTAATATATAACCTGTTTTACTTTGTTTTACAGAAAAAAGAATCTATTTTTGTTTCTATAACTGATAGTTGACAGGATCCTTTCTGTTTAACAGACCAACAAATGAAATCTGTCATTGAATACAAAATACATACTGTCTGTCTTCTCCCGCACAAATGCCTCCCATTCCTTGAACCAAGCCATGCTGATTGCATAGACTGCTGCTGTGTGTTCCTCTGCCTGAAATTCCTCATTCAGCTGCAAAAATCATGTCAAAGATCAAAGTAGGATAATTCAGAGAAATTATACCACATTCATCATGACTCACGACATAAACAGATAATAATGTCTCTTCAGATTAAGTAAGCTAATCCTGTGCAGACACAACTCATGAACAGATAATAATGTCTCTTCAGATTAAGTAAGCTAATCCTGTGCAGACACAACTCATGAACAGATAATAATGTCTCTTCAGATTAAGTAAGCTAATCCTGTGCAGACACAACTCATGAACAGATAATAATGTCTCTTCAGATTAAGTAAGCTAATCCTGTGCAGACACAACTCATGAACAGATAATAATGTCTCTTCAGATTAAGTAAGCTAATCCTGTGCAGACACAACTCATGAACAGATAATAATGTCTCTTCAGATTAAGTAAGCTAATCCTGTGCAGACACAACTCATGAACAGATAATAATGTCTCTTCAGATTAAGTAAGCTAATCCTGTGCAGACACAACTCATGAACAGATAATAATGTCTCTTCAGATTAAGTAAGCTAATCCTGTGCAGACACAACTCATGAACAGATAATAATGTCTCTTCAGATTAAGTAAGCTAATCCTGTGCAGATACAACTGTAGTGTAGTAAGCGACAGAGCTTTCCAAGTACTAGGTTCAAGCTTGATGATTGAGCTGGTAAATCCCATTTCTGTGCCATCTAATCACCTTAGAGCAGTGGTTCTCAACCTTCCTAATGCAGCAACCCTTTCTTAGTTCCTCATTGTGGGGACCCTTTCTTACAGTTTCTCATTGTGGTGACTCTTTCTTACAGTTCCTCATTGTGGTGACCCTTTCTTTCAGTTCCTCATTGTGGTGACCCTTTCTTACAGTTCCTCATCGTGGTGACCCTTTCTTAAAGTTTCTCATTGTGGTGACCCTTGCTTACAGTTCCTCATTGTGGTGACCCTTTCTTACAGTTCCTCATTGTGGTGACCCTTTCTTACAGTTCCTTATTGTGGTGACTCTTTCTTACAGTTCCTCATTGTGGTGACCCTTTCTTACAGTTCCTCATTGTGGTGACCCTTTCTTACAGTTCCTCATTGTGGTAACTTTTTCTTACAGTTCCTCATTGTGGTGACCCTTTCTTACAGTTCCTCATTGTGGTGACCCTTTCTTACAGTTCCTCATTGTGGTGACCCTTTCTTACAGTTCCTCATTGTGGTGACTCTTTCTTACAGTTCCTCATTGTGGTGACTCTTTCTTTACAGTTCCTCATTGTGGTGACTCTTTCTTACAGTTCCTCATTGTGGTGACCCTTTCTTACAGTTCCTCATTGTGGTGACTCTTTCTTACAGTTCCTCATTGTGGTGAATCTTTCTTACAGTTCCTCATTGTGGTGACTCTTTCTTACAGTTCCTCATTGTGGTGACTCTTTCTTACAGTTCCTCATTGTGGTGAATCTTTCTTACAGTTCCTCATTGTGGTGACTCTTTCTTACAGTTCCTCATTGTGGTGACTCTTTCTTACAGTTCCTCATTGTGGTGACCCTTTCTTACAGTTCCTCATCGTTCTGGTGAACCCAAACACAGTTATTTTTGTTACTACTTCAATGAATATGTGCTTTCCGACGGTCTCTGGCGACCCCTGTGAAAGGGTCCTTTGACCCCAAAAGAGGAGTCGCGACCCACAGGCTGAGAACCACTGCCCTAGAGAAACCTCTTGTGCCTAGCTCACAATGAATCAAATATAAAAATATAGTCAGAAATAAATCTTTCCGAACTGGAAATGAACCAAGACTGAGGTGCTAGCACGCCAGTAAACTGTTCACCATATTCTTCTTCTTCTTCCGTGTTCGCCCTTACAAGGGCGGTTGGCACATTGTGTTGTGGTTCACCGCTAGGCTGCAATATCGACACCTTTTAGCCCAGCACATCCAGTTTCAGTAAACCCTGAATTAAACGTCCTGTATGACATGCTAATTACTAGACAGTGAGACTATTTTTGGGGACACCACATGAGGACTATCCACTGTATGATCATGGCTTCAGATTGTTAAGTTACTGAAAACATCAGTCTGAAAAGCATATCAACATTAGCTGTATAGGGTAAATTCCTAAACTGTGCCTCATTTGCGATGCTGGTGTGAAAAACACAGAACTGGCCAAACAAAGTTCAGAATTCTATATTTGTTAGGAAGGGTTAATACCTGAATAAAGGTGTCCTTCTCGCTCAGCTGTCTCTGTCGTAGCTTCTCTAGCTCGTACTGACAAGTTTTACAAACATACAAGTGGTTGCATACAGGTCCACCTCCAAACCTGTAAAATATTATTGTCATTTGTATCAATCAAAATGTTTAAAATAAAAAACAAAAATCATTAACATGCACTTTTAGTTATATAGATTAAGAAAACAATATGGCGATATACATCATTCACTAAAGTGTCAATATTCTCTGCAGAATACTGGGATACATTCAATGTACCTAGGGAGCCACAGTGGTGTGGTGACCAGATGCTCACATGCTGATCTGAAGGTCTTGGGTTTGAATCTGTACCGAGACATATTTGGTCACAACTGACCTTGGCTTCCAGCCTCAAATGGTTAGGAAGTAAATATTCTGGGAAGTAAAGGAAGCCAGTGCAGTGCTGACAACATAACATAACCCTTGACCCATTTGGGTCGTGGGGGTGTGTTGATGGAAGCAATAGCACATAAAACCCGCCATCTTTCTCTTGTCTTCCGCTTGATGAATAAATGTATAACTCAGTCCTGTCCATTTCTTGATGTTGTCATTCCAGTTTCTTCTTTGCCCTCTTTTTCTTCGACTAACTCCTAATGTTTCTTGAAGTACATAACCACATAACCCATTAAGTGATGATTCATTTTCTTCATGACTCCCAGCCCTTGAGGTTCAACTCTGCAGATATCATCACTTCCCTTTCTTTTTATCTCTATGATTGGCTCTCTTCTTTCAGCTGGCGGCTTCAAGTGTCCGTGGATCTGCCTCATGGTCTACTCACAAGAAACACTTATGTGTACGCCATTTCTGACACTTTGTTATCTGCCTCCCCCCCCCCTCCCCCCAATATACCACAACCACTGCAGTCTATAAGCCCTCATGATACTAGTAATTAGTTGTCATTTAAACAGTTAATGAATTTAATTGCTGCTCATTATTATCAATTCTTTCTTGTTTGCCATTTTTTAATGGGTTTGGACATTTGATGTTAAGACTGTTCTCAAGTTTGTAATAAGGCTTAATCTCTTTTAGTTGTATGTACATCACATATAACAAAATATCTATCAGTGCTTTATATAGTGATTTTGGTGTTACAAGACAGATAATTTGATTTTTAGCAGATGTTGTAGGACATATTACACCTAATTTCCAGACTACACTCCAGATGTGCTTCCTCTCTTTCTCTGAGTGCTGTACAAATAAAAGTCTAGCATCATATGCCCGGGAGTCGCCATGGCTGAGCGGCTAGACGCCTGCCGCTGATCGGAAGGTCGTGGGTTCGCTCCCTGGTGGAGCCAGACTTTTTTCAAAAATGACCTTGGCTCCCAGGTCGACCCAGCCGTGAGTGGGTACCGGGTGCAGTCCCGGGAAAGTAACGGCAGCCGGCGTGATGCTGACCACATCACCCATCTTGTGCCGATTGGTCTATAAAAATTTAGGTCTAGCCCTATACGTCTAAAGGCGTGGAAAAGGGTCCTTTACTTTTTTTTTTACATCATGTGCCCAATGGCCCTTTACTTTCCTTAAATTGCACCCAGGGAGCCACAGAAGTGCATGGACTAATATGCTTGTCTGCTGGCCTGATGGTCATGGGATCAAATCCTCACCGAGATATATTTTAAAACATAATGCTGTTATTCAAGTTTATAAACTGTTCAAGGAAATGTTTAGGAAAGTAAAGTCATGATGATATTGACCCAAGTGACCCATTAATCTAGTGACAACTGATCTATACAAAAACACCATATGTCCAATATGCCTCATGGCAGAGGGATGGGTCTTTTAGTTGTAAACTGTGCCCGTTCTAGTGTATAGTCTTCCACTTCCATCCCTAGTGGCAGTAGCCTCCCTCTGGCTTGTATACAGTCTTCCACTTCCATCCCTAGTGGCAGTAGCCTCCCTCTGGCTTGTATACAGTCTTCCACTTCCCTCCCTAGTGGCAGTAGCCTCCCTCTGTCTTGTATACAGTCTTCCACTTCCCTCCCTAGTGGCAGTAGCCTCCCTCTGTCTTGTATACAGTCTTCCACTTCCCTCACTAGTGACAGTAGCCTCCCTCTGGCTTGTATACAGTTTCCCACTTCCCTCCCTAGTGGCAGTAGCCTCCCTCTGTCTTGTATACAGTCTTCCACTTCCCTCCCTAGTGACAATAGCCTCCCTCTGGCTTGTATACAGTTTCCCACTTCCCTTCCTAGTGACAATAGCCTCCCTCTGGCTTGTATACAGTCTTCCACTTCCCTCCCTAGTGGCAGTAGCCTCCCTCTGGCTTGTATACAGTCTTCCACTTCCCTCCCTAGTGACAGTAGCCTCCCTCTGGCTTGTATACAGTCTTCCACTTCCCTCTTTAGTGGCAGTAGTCTCCCTCTGGCTTGTATACAGTTTCCCACTTCCCTCCCTAGTGGCAGTAGCCTCCCTCTGGCTTGTATACAGTCTTCCACTTCCCTCCTTAGTGGCAGTAGCCTCCCTCTGGCTTGTATACAGTCTTCCACTTCCCTCCCTAGTGGCAGTAGCCTCCCTCTGGCTTGTATACAGTTTCCCACTTCCCTCCCTAGTGGCAGTAGCCTCCCTCTGGCTTGTGTACAGTCTTCCACTTCCCTCCCTAGTGGCAGTAGTCTCCCTCTGGCTTGTATACAGTCTTCCACTTCCCTCCCTAGTGGCAGTAGCCTCCCTCTGGCTTGTATACAGTTTCCACTTCCCTCCCTAGTGGCAGTAGCCTTGCTCTGGCTTGTATACAGTCTTCCACTTCCATCCCTAGTGGCAGTAGCCTCCCTCTGGCTTGTATACAGTTTCCACTTCCCTCCCTAGTGGCAGTAGCCTCCCTCTGGCTTGTATACAGTCTTCCACTTCCCTCCCTAGTGGCAGTAGCCTCCCTCTGGCTTGTATACAGTCTTCCACTTCCCTCCCTAGTGGCAGTAGCCTTGCTCTGGCTTGTATAGTTTCCCACTTCCCTCCCTAGTGGCAGTAGCCTCCCTCTGGCTTGTGTACAGTTTCCCACTTCCCTCCTTAGTGGCAGTAGCCTCCCTCTGGCTTGTATACAGTTTCCCACTTCCCTCCCTAGTGGCAGTAGCCTCCCTCTGGCTTGTATACAGTTTCCCACTTCCCTCCCTAGTGGCAGTAGTCTCCCTCTGACTTGTGTACAGTTTCCCACTTCCCTCCTTAGTGGCAGTAGCCTCCCTCTGGCTTGTATACAGTTTCCCACTTCCCTCCCTAGTGGCAGTAGCCTCCCTCTGGCTTGTATACAGTCTTCCCCTTCCCTCCCTAGTGGCTGTAACCTCCCTCTGGCTTGTATACAGTCTCCCACTTCCCTCCCTAGTGGCAGTAGCCTCCCTTTGGCTTGTATACAGTCTTCCACTTCCCTCCCTAGTGGCAGTAGCCTCCCTCTGGCTTGTATACAGTCTTCCATTTCCCTCCCTAGTGGCAGTAGCCTTCCTTTGGCTTGTATACAGTCTTCCACTTCCCTCCCTAGTGGCAGTAGCCTCCCTTTGGCTTGTATACAGTCTTCCACTTCCCTCCCTAGTGGCAGTAGCCTTGCTCTGGCTTGTATACAGTCTTCCACTTCCCTCCCTAGTGGCAGTAGCCTCCCTCTGGCTTGTATACAGTCTTCCACTTCCCTCCCTAGTGGCAGTAGCCTCGCTCTGGCTTGTATACAGTCTTCCACTTCCCTCCCTAGTGGCAGTAGCCTCGCTCTGGCTTGTATACAGTCTTCCACTTCCCTCCCTAGTGGCAGTAGCCTCGCTCTGGCTTGTATACAGTCTTCCACTTCCCTCCCTAGTGGCAGTAGCCTCCCTCTGGCTTGTATACAGTCTTCCACTTCCCTCCCTAGTGGCAGTAGCCTCCCCCTGGCTTGTATATAGTCTTCCACTTCCCTCCCTAGTGGCAGTAGCCTCGCTCTGGCTTGTATACAGTCTTCCACTTCCCTCCCTAGTGGCAGTAGCCTCCCTCTGGCTTGTATACAGTCTTCCACTTCCCTCCCTAGTGGCAGTAGCCTCCCCCTGGCTTGTATACAGTCTTCCACTTCCCTCCCTAGTGGCAGTAGCCTCCCTCTGACTGCCTGTCCCTAAACAATCCAGTATGTAATCAACATTTCCCCACCTGTTATACAGCATCTCCCAGGTGGACTGGTTAATTTCTATCACCAGGTCATCTATGAGGCTCACTTTTCCAGGTGGGACACCTAGGAACACAAAAATATGCTTAGAATAACACCTATGAACACAAAAAATATTCTTAGAACAACATCTATGGACACAGGAATACACCATGGTTAGTGGGACATCTACAGACACAAAATACATCAGCTGGCAAAAGAATATTTTTAGTGAGGCATTTATTTTAAAAGGGAGCCGCCGTGGTCTAGCGGCTAGATCCTCGCCTGCGGATCAGAAGATTGTGGGTTTTGTTCCTGACAAGGGCCGGATTTTATTTCAAAAATGACCTTGGCTCCCAAGTCGACCCAGCCTTGAGTGGGTACCAGATACAGTCCTTTGAAGTAGAGGTGGCCGATGTGATGTTGACCTCACCACCCACCAAGTGCCGTTTGGTCTATAAAATATAGATCTAGCCCTATATGCCCAATACACATTAAAACGTGGAAAAAGGTCCTTAACTTTATTTTAAAAAAGGAATACAATATATTCTTTGGGACAACAACAGACAATATTTTTAGTGGGACATCCACGGACGAAGAAAGACATGCTTAGTAGTATCTTTAGGGTTGGGTGGTGGGGGGGGGGGGGGATGTTTAGTAGGATATTGATGGGTTTAGTCGAACATTTAGGGACAAAAGAATATAATTTGTTTAGCTGAACATATGTAGGGTTAAGTGGAAAAAAGAATACAAATATTCTGTGAAACATCTATGGATAAAGGAATACACCTTTAGTTGGACATTTATGGATAAAGGAAGGAATACAATCTGTTCAGCAGGAGGTCTATGCTCCAAGGAATATAACATGTTTTAGTTGGACATTTAATGGCACAGAAATGCACAACATGTTTAGTGGGATATCTACAGGTAAAGGAAAGTAATATTTTTGGTGGGCTCCATGGAATAGATGAGTAGTGTTAAAATATGCTTCCTTTTTTCAGTTCTTTGGATTAATTTCTCGGTAATATGCTTGACTGCAGTCATCCGTTTTCAACGCTTTCTAAATATCTGACACAGTTCAATGATACCCACTCATAAAGTACTGGTGGGGCTGTGTGGTGTCCAGACAGTTCAGAAATCCCTAGGATACGATGCCTCTTGAACATCGTTGGTTGTTGATTACCGATTACACCTTTTCACTGTCTGCTGCTGTGTTTAGTTTATTTCCAGCAGCCACTGAAACTGTCTCCAACATCTCCTGGTTTTTTTTTACCATAGTTCTATACCTGCCATCTACTGTTTTAATTTAGTGGAAATGGGGAAAATGGGGGGGGGGGGGGGGAGACAAAGAATCAAGTGGAACAAAAGTCTACAGTAGTATGTTTTCGAAAGAAAAGCAAATTTAAACATTTCAAGGTACACATACCTCCATGTTTGCATAAGAAATCCTTGTTGGTTATTGGCCCAGGCTCGGCAAATGTGTAAAAGCGACTTTCCCATTGTTTGCTCAGATAAAATCTCAAGATGCTTGGCTGTAAAAATAAAAATAAAATTTAAACCATACACAACTGAAGTGGCTTTAGGGACAGCAAAGCTGTGAAAATGTAATAAACACATGGAAATAAAGGACATACTTAAGGTCAGCTTCTTACATGAACATGATCACAGAGGAAGGCAAACAACAGGTTTTCGTGATCAAACAATCCAACAGATAAAAAAGATGGATACTTAAACAACTATAGTAAACACCTCATTAACACGAACGAATACCTGTTTAAAAAATGCATGCTAACTGGGCACTAATACATGCTTTAAATGGTATGATCAGTGTACCATTCAGAAAGCAATGCAAACTATTTCTTTTATTAGAAATTAACTTGTACAACCAGGCAACAGTCTACAAATGCTGTGGGCTAATTTTGCGGCATCCAGAAAAGGAAACAGAAGTAACTTAAACATAAATAATTAGAAGAGCAAATTATCAAGCACTGACTAAATAACAGCTTACCTCACTCCTCTCTAGTTCGCTCATCCTTTGCCGCAGACTCTCCATCTTCCTATTATTTTTTCTGAAATAAAGAGGGATTCGTTATGATTCATACACATTTATTTAGTTCTTTCCCAAAGTTCTATACTAGTGATTATATTGTAATATAAAATTCCTTCTAATCTGTGCAGGCACCAGTTAATGAACGTCATTCACACAGGAGTCTAGAAAACATAAAAACCAACAAACAATCAATATATGAACCACAGATTGCTTACCTGGAAGGATAATACTTTATATATACTAGATTGTGGCTTTACGGTTTCTTTTTTTAATTGCTCCTCCACTTACATCCATACAATTCAAGAATTCATTTCTATATTTACTTTGGCCTAATAACTCTAAAACTATGTAAAACAAGTGTTTGAATTCTACATCAGAGTATCAAAACACAAACCCCAAGACATAACAACCAAACTAATCTTCTTCTGCATTCCTCTTAAAATATGTGGTTGGCATACTGTGTTACAGTTATATTATCCCCCGTGTGGGTTCCGGGGCCCCATTGTGGGGAAAACAAGAATAGACCCACTGCCTCCCCAGAAGCATGTCGTAAGAGTCGACTAATTGGGAAGCTTCCTTTGAAGTCGGAGTGCATCTGCCGGAGAGGCAAGGAACCAACAGTCTGTATTCAAGAGAATGAGATCTGTAAAACTGATGCACACGCAACACTCAGGTTCTGGAGCAGGACTGCAGTTCAGTAGTGGACGAGCAACCAGAACTTTCCGCCAGTGTACAGCTGGTGAACGCGAAGAAGAAGAAGTTATATTATCATGACGTCACTGCAAACTTGACATTCCTATGTGTGCTCAGCCCTACAATACGCAACCACTCCAGCCCTCCGATGCGCAACCACTCCAAGTTTTAAGAGGAATGCAGAACGATATTAGCCACGTCGTTATATTGTCCTCCTCTGTGGGATTCAAACACCTGTTTTACATAATGTTACGGTTACTGTAAAATCTGTGTTCTGCATCTCTCAGTCCATGACATGATCCCAGGAAACTCCTACTTAGTCGTCTTTTGTGACTGGCTTGTCGAGGGGTCTATTCTTGTACACCCTTCAAATTAGGATACAGGAACCTACACAGAGCAGCCACTAATCTGGATTATGCAGTAACAAGTACATCTGTATTACTGATCCTACAAAACCAAATGAAGATTCTGCATCGGACTCACCTGTAAAACAGAACGTAAGCCTCACAGTTCTGGACTTGACTGATGTCCACTTCTGTGACATACTGGTCATCAAACTCGTACCACTGCTCATTCAGGTGATTCAGGCAATATGCCGTGTAATGACCACCTAGCAACAAACAGACATCATTATACAAGGCAGTCTTTTAAATATGGTGGTCCACAGAACAAATTTAAGGGGTCCGTAAGATTATTATTATTTTTTTTTAACCAACTTTAGACTGCAGTTTGTTTTGTAATTCTAATATATATTAATAAATAGGTTTAACTGCCCAGGTTCTCCCGGGATAGTGAAAGAGCGTCTTCTTCTCCTGTCCTCTACCTCATCGTGGTCTCCACCGCTGCCCATATGTAGGCCTAGTGGAAATATTGGTCTCACTAAAAACCTATATTGAATATACTCTCTTCTACTTCATCTGTGTCTCCACCGCTGCCGTGTCTCTAGTCCTTGCCCTAAGTGTACCCGAGGTATGCCCTGTAATACTAACACACCTGGGAGACAAGACAAATGTATTATCCCAGACACCTATAAACAGGTGGTTTCAAGGGAAATAACAGCGGAATATTATTTAAACAAAAATACTTTTAAGGAAAATAATACGAAAAAATATTCAAGGATATAACTCCAGCAAAATGTTACTTTTACTGATTGTCACAACAAATAAAGAAATGCACAATATCCTGGACTGCCAATGTGACTGTTAAATAAAACACAGTAGTCATAATGGTAAATGAAAATTTTAACCTGCGTACTGGTCACAGTTTGGGAGGAGTTAACACTTCATTTATAATAAACACAAGAAATGTGTGCTTAATAAATGTGCACATCCATTTTCGTCCTTTTTAGGACGAAATTTTTTGTTATTTGAAACCCCACCCTGGCTTTTGCCAGGGGCCGCAATTTAGGCAGGCCATAGATATGGCCAATTGTCTGAACACGGTTTCTGGGACCTCTCCCGGGCGATCCTCATCCACATGGTGGCACTTTGTGTCATCAGGTGTTTGTCGCTTGTGTGATGTCCTAGTGGGGTAGAAAGTCAGTCGGTCAGTCAACACAGGAAATACAGAAAGGGTTTGTGATTTATGGTATAGACGGCAAGTTCTTCAGTACGACTATTAAAAAGTATAAGATCCAAGGCAGATCTTAGAAAATAAGATGGGTCTGCAGGTCTTAGCTACCTGGGAACTGCTGACATAAGGGATAATGAAATTCATTTAAATTACCAATTTTTTATTTTAAAAAGCCGACACTTAGTGTGTCTCCAAACATCAGTCTTCAATCATTTGGGTGAATTTGTCCTAAGAAAGTGGATTATGAACACATGAAACCAAACTACTGGTACGAATCCAGACAGAAAGAGCATTGTTGCTGTGAAAAAGGATGTGGGACATGGTTTTATGACCTCTTCAGAAATCGTCAAAGTAAATGATTAAAAAGGCTAAGGGCAAGGTAAAGGATTTCTGTTAGCAGTAAAATAAAAACTCTACCTTTCCTGCTCACTGTATGAAGCTGCTCAAAGCGGTTGTAACTTTACTCTTTGGCTAAGAAGAATATTCTCAAAACAGAAGCATAAACAAAAAAATATACCGACTACTGGTCCTTTCGTCTCTTCATTTAAGGTTGAGTTAAAAGCAACAAAGGCAGTGGACACATAAAGGCACCAGGACCATCCCTTTCTTTCAGGTGAACAAGAGTTTTTTTTAAAAATGTTCAATAAAACCAAAACTTCACATTTACTACTAGTTCTCTGAAAAATTTTTTTTTTTAAATAGAAAGAAATGACAAACAAGATACATTTACTCACCGCCTGCAGTACCGTGGTGACAAATTATAGCAATCAGGTCATAGAGGGTCACTTCATTCTTGCATGCTGAGAATATAAAAACAACCAAACAATGACCAAATTATGCCCATATTACATGTACTGCAGATGTTCTGGTTTATCCAGTCACAAAACGATATGCCACGTTCTGATGTCATCCATCTTCATCAAGCTCAAAATAACTGTTCTTGTTTTCTTTTTTTCAATAAAAATCACTTATTTATATCTACTTGGTTGCTGACATACCAGGGTCTAAAATATGGCTACTGGTGATTCAGCAGCAGACTGTTTATTTTGTTGGTTTCAACAACAGCGCAGCGTGAGCTTTATATCACTCAGAAGCATGACAAAGTACTGAAACTAAAACTGCCTGGTAAAACCAGGCAACAGTCAATAAGTGCAGAGGTTAGTTAGCTGGAAAAGTCCTAAAATAAACTTTTATTACCCTAAATGTTCATTGGAAGATCATCAAAAATATTCAGGTAGCAGAAACCTGATACAAGAAGCTTTTCAGTCAGTCAGCACTGCTGCTCTACCAGCAAAAGGGAACCATGGAAATCTGGTCCACCAAGAACTTAAAACTCCAATCCACAAACTCAGGATTAGGAAAAAAAGAGGCTGCAGCACTGACAGCCCATCTCCTAAAAGCAGCCTTGCTATAAAGAAATGTATTAGTTTTATTAAAAGTATTTAAGTTGTACAGGGTATTGAATTTTCTAGTTACACTAAACATTTTCTAGCAATATTAGACAAGAAATATTCTGGTTATCCTAGATATGTTTCGTTTATATTAGGCAAGATATTTTCTATTTATACAAGGAATGTTCCAGCTATATATCAGGCAAATTTCTGTTTATGTTAAATGCTTCACATATAAGAGAATGAGGCAAGACAGACCAAATGATGTGTTTGAAAAAAAAAAAGGGAGAGAGCGAGGGAGAGAGAGATGGGGAGAGAGAGAGAAATTGAAAAGAGTACAAAGCATGGTTTTTTTTATCAGCGACTCACCTTTATGAAGATAAGGTTCCATGTCTAACCCTTCCATGGGAAATGAAATATATGTACCGATTTTCGATGAATAAAACTCATGTCGGAATCTCTTCAGATGGATTGAGAGAATCTGTTGGCAATTTAAAAAAATTTTTTTTAATATTCCACTTACCACACAGTTGTGAATAACAATTCAGAAATTAAAATTTAAAACTTAAGTTATCGATCTGCATGAGCTCCAGTCTCTTATCATCATGAGAGGTCGGTATCGGGAGATATTCACATGTCATTGTAACAGGTCAGTAATGAGGGAGATATATTCAGGTCCCTGTGATGGCAGACCAACAGTGAGGTGATATACACAGGTTCCTATGATGGGGGTCAGCAATGAGGGTGATTTATCCAAGATATCATATTTGGAGTCAGCAGTGAGGGTGATATATCCAGGATATCATGACAGGAGGTCAGCAATGTGGGTGACACATCCCAGGATATAATGATGGGAGGTCACTAATGAGGTGCTAAATTCAGGATATAATGATGGGAGGTAATGAAGGTGACATGTCCAGGATCTAGTGATGGGAGGTCAGTAATGAAGGTGACATGTCCAGGATCTAGTGATGGAAGGTAAGTAATGAAGGTGACATGTCCAGGATCTAGTGATGGGAGGTCAGTAATGAAGGTGACATGTCCAGGATCTAGTGATGGGAGGTCAGTAATGAAGGTGACATGTCCAGGATCTAGTGATGGGAGGTCAGTAATGAAGGTGACATGTCCAGGATCTAGTGATAGGAGGTCAGTAATAAAGGTGACATGTCCAGGATCTAGTGATGGAAGGTCAGTAATGAAGGTGACATGTCCAGGATCTAGTGATGGGAGGTCAGTAATGAAGGTGACATGTCCAGGATCTAGTGATGGGAGGTCAGTAATGAAGGTGACATGTCCAGGATCTAGTGATAGGAGGTCAGTAATGAAGGTGACATGTCCAGGATCTAGTGATGGGAGGTCAGTAATGAAGGTGACATGTCCAGGATCTAGTGATGGGAGGTCAGTAATGAAGGTGACATGTCCAGGATCTAGTGATGGAAGGTCAGTAATGAAGGTGACATGTCCAGGATCTAGTGATGGGAGGTCAGTAATAAAGGTGACATGTCCAGGATCTAGTGATGGAAGGTCAGTAATGAAGGTGACATGTCCAGGATCTAGTGATGGGAGGTCAGTAATGAAGGTGACATGTCCAGGATCTAGTGATGGGCGGTCAGTAATGAAGGTGACATGTCCAGGATCTAGTGATGGGAGGTCAGTAATGAAGGTGACATGTCCAGGATCTAGTGAAGGGAGGTCAGTAATGAAGGTGACATGTCCAGGATCTAGTGATGGGAGGTCAGTAATGAAGGTGACATGTCCAGGATCTAGTGATGGGAGGTAAGTAATTAAGGTGACATGTCCAGGATCTAGTGATGGGAGGTCAGTAATGAAAGTGACATGTCCAGGATCTAGTGATGGAAGGTCAGTAATGAAGGTGACATGTCCAGGATCTAGTGATGGGAGGTCAGTAATGAAGGTGACATGTCTAGGATCTAGTGATGGGAGGTAAGTAATGAAGGTGACATGTCCAGGATCTAGTGATGGGAGGTCATTAATGAAGGTGACATGTCTAGGATCTAGTGATGGGAGGTCAGTAATGAAGGTGACATGTCTAGGATCTAGTGATGGGAGGTAAGTAATGAAGGTGACATGTCCAGGATCTAGTGATGGAAGGTCAGTAATGAAGGTGACATGTCCAGGATCTAGTGATGGGAGGTCAGTAATGAAGGTGACATGTCCAGGATTTAGTGATGGGAGGTAGTTATGAAGGTGACATGTCCAGTATCTAGTGATGGGAGGTCAGTAATGAAGGTGACATGTCCAGGATCTAGTGATGGAAGGTCAGTAATGAAGGTGACATGTCCAGGATCTAGTGATGGGAGGTCAGTAATGAAGGTGACATGTCCAGGATCTAGTGATGGAAGGTCAGTAATGAAGGTGACATGTCCAGGATCTAGTGATGGGAGGTCAGTAATGAAGGTGACATGTCCAGGATCTAGTGATGGGAGGTCAGTAATGAAGGTGACATGTCCAGGATCTAGTGATGGGAGGTCAGTAATGAAGGTGACATGTCCAGGATCTAGTGATGGGAGGTCAGTAATGAAGGTGACATCTCCAGGATCTAGTGATGGGAGGTCAGTAATGAAGGTGACATGTCCAGGATCTAGTGATGGGAGGTCAGTAATGAAGGTGACATGTCCATGATCTAGTGATGGGAGGTAAGTAATGAAGGTGACATGTCCAGGATCTAGTGATGGGAGGTAAGTAATGAAGGTGACATGTCCAGGATCTAGAGATAGGAGATCAGTAATGAAGGTGACATGTCCAGGATCTAGTGATGGGAGGTCAGTAATGAAGGTGACATGTCCAGGATCTAGTGATGGGAGGTCAGTAATGAAGGTGACATGTCCAGGATCTAGTGATGGGAGGTCAGTAATGAGAGTGATATATCAAGAATATAATGTTAGGACAGTAATGAGGGTGACACATCCAGGATATAATGATGAGAGGTCAGTAATGAGAGGGCCATACCCAGGATCTAGTGATTGGATGTCAGTAATGAGGGGGTTATTTCCAGGATATAATGATGGAAAATCAGTAATGAGAGTGATATTTCCAGGATCTTGTGACAGGCGGTCAGTAATGAGGATGATATAACAAGAATCTAGTAATCATAAGTCAGAAATGAGGAGGTTATATCCAGGATCTTGGGTTTTGAAGTCAGTAATGAAGATACATCCAGGCTCTTGTGATGGGAGGTCAGTCATGGAATGTGATATCCAGGCCCTTCTAATCAGAGGCCAGTAATGGTGGTGATATATCTAAGCTCTGTGAACTCAAAGTCAACCAAGGATCGCCCGGGTACCTTAATTAGATGTAATAACAGCTGGTATAAGTAACTACAATAATGTCTCCATTAACTACACCCCTATTTAGCATGCCCATCTTTTGTCTACATGTTACAGAAACATTATGTTGCTGATAGTTCTAATTTTTTTTAATGATTTAACTAGGGCATAGCCTTAATAGGTCTATTATTCAAATTATAATTTGCATACCAACATCTGAAATATAAAGAAACTTTTTCCTACACTCACCTCTGGCAGCTCAAGCACTTTTGAATACTTCAGGCCATTGCGAAGTCTGACAAGAAGTGAAAGAGTATTTGTTAAACAAACAAACAAGACAAAAGAGGCATGGGAATGCCCCGAGTGCTGTGATGTCAATTATTGACTCAACTTGTTTTAAAAAAAAAAATATTCTAAAACAGTCAGTACTCAACAGTAGACCAAGTACAAATTAAACAACCCAATTTATCAGCCAATAGAATGTACTAGGTATATGATATTATACGTATAATTTCTGTACAAAATGTAAGACTCATGTTTTCAGTGGTGCCCACTAGTTTACAAACTAAGAAAAATGTCAGGGTAACCACTGGTATCAGCAGTTACAAGACAAAGAAGATGGTGGTGGTGCTTTTACTAGGCCCATCCTGAGGAAATTAGAGCAGAGAATCACCAAACAGTCAATGAAAGTGGAAAAAATTAACCGAGGAAAATAGAGCAGAGAATCACCAAACAGTCGATGAAAGTGGACAGAAATGAACTGAGGAAAATAGAGCAGAGAATCACCAAACAGTCGATGAAAGTGGACAGAAATGGACTGAGGAAAATAGAGCACAGAATCACCAAACAGTCGTTGAAAGTAGAAATAAATGGACTTTGCAAAACAGATATCCTAGAGAAACCTTAAGTGCTGGACTGGATTCCATCCATGACATAAAAGTAATAGCACAAGACAGAATAGAATGAAGGACTAGACTACAAGCCGTATGTGAAATATAATGGTACGAAAGGATGAAGATGATGAATGTGATGATGATGTATGTATTTATTAGAACAGGTAAACTGACAGTACCAATTTTGTTGTTGTTGTTGGTGATTACGTATAAAATGGCTTCAGAATGATAAGTATACAGCACAATATTCAAACAGGTTAAACATTCAGTGAAAGCCTCACCTGGAATAGACCCACTACCCCCCCCCCCCTTTCCAACAAGCATGATGTAAAATAATTAGGGGTGTTTCCTTCAAGGCTGAAGTGCATCTGCGAGAAGAAACCAACAGTCTGCTAACAAATAAGCCAGGTCTGTAAAATGAATGTGCATGCAAAACCAAAGTTCTGGAACAAGGGTGGAATCCAGAAGCAAACAAACAACCAGAACTTTCCTCCTGGGTTTACAGCCGGTGAACATACACAACAGAAGAAGAAGAAGAAAAAGTTTCTTTGTGTAGATGTTTAAAAAACATAAATTAAGAGAACAGATTAGGCAATGGATGGCGTCCACAAAAAGGATCCAGTCAAACATGCCATGCTCATCATCACGTGCTCTGCCGACTGGTACAGGCATTCATGCATCTCCAGATATCTCAGTCCCTTGTCCTCTGGATCAGTTCCACCGATGATATGTCTCCGTGCCACCATCACAATCCATCTGTCATCATCTCTCTCTGTCTGCCTCTCCCTCTTCTACCACTGATGTTCCCAGTCCTCACAATATTCTCCAAAGACACACCCCCCCCCCCCCCCCCCCCCTCCCACCTTTCCCACGACATCTTACCGAAGCTCTAACACAATTAAGTTCACGACTTACTTTTTACACTTGTCACAGCTGTACATATTATCTCCCTTGAGTTCATCAGCAGAGAAAAATGCAGACAAACAATCTTGGAGTGTAATTATTGGTCCAATAAACCAGCTGTGGATGCAGACAGAAAGACATGGTTTCACAGAGAGAAAAATGCAGACATACAATCTTGGAGTGTAATTATTGGTCCAATAAACCAGCTGTGGATGCAGACAGAAAGACATGGTTTCACAGAGAGAAAAATGAAGACAAACAAACTTGAAGTGTAATTATTGGTCCAATAAACCAGCTGTGGGTGCAGACAGAAAGACATGGTTTTACTGAGAGAAAAATGCAGACAAACAATCTTGGAGTATAATTACTGGTCCAGCATTTTAGCTCAAAAGCTCCTATTTTTTTTTAAACCCAAGGACTGCCTGATAGTCCACAACTTACATCCATTTGTTGGTACAGGGAAGACACATGCTCACAAAATTTTGACTTTTATTTTCTTGCTGGTCCTTAGTCATAGACTTTATATTCTGTTTTAATAATAAATATTTTTTAAAAAATCTAATAAGTGGTATTGTGACGAAAGGCAACATTAAAAACACATATCTAACTTCCTTGGAGTATAATGAATCTTTTGGTAGTGGATTCTTATAGCAGATCCATGGTGTGGTATAATGGTTCGTGTGCCTGCCTGCTAGAAAGGTAGAAATAATTTTTTGCTTTATGTAACTTTGGGGATGATTCAACCTCATTGAAAATAGCTACCATATTTCTTCTTTTTATCATTCATCAGCTGTAAACACCAGTGAGGGGATCTGGGTGTTCGCCCACTTCTGGACTTTGGTCTTGTTCACTAACTTGAGTTTCTCATGCTGACAGTTTTACAGACCTAGCTTATTTGTAGGCTTATTTGTTCTGTTTCCTCATCTCTCAGACAAATACACTCCGACTTGGAAGGAAACATTCCTAAATAGCCAACTTTAACAACTTGCTTCTTTTTTAGGGGTCAGCGGGTCTATTCTTTTCCCCCTTAAAATGGAGCCCCGGAACCCATATGAGGAGTTATCATTCACACTGCATCATTTTCTATGAAGGTGAGTAAGAAAAACAGTCCAGCTCTTTTTTTTTAAATGGGTAAAATCGCAACTGCTATGGAATAACCTTTACCACTGCATAAAGTGACAGTTACAGAGATGGCTCTTTTGTCTCCATCAATTAGCCAGCCTAAAGTTATAGTTGAGAGGTTCAACTCAACTGTACCAGATGTAACCCACATGGCTCTGTCTCTCTATTAGACCAAAATGGAGGCATTAAGACTGAGCTGGCTACACGAAAAGCAGCTGCTGGGAGACTCTTCCAGGCCATAAACCGAGGGTTTCTTAGCAAAAGAGAAATTGGCAAGAGGACAAAAATGGCTGTTTACCGCTCTACCTATGTACCAGTCCTGACCTATGGGTGTGAGTCATGGGCAATGACAACAGCTTACAGAAGCCAGCTGCAGGCCTCGGAAATGAGATACTTGAGAAAGGTGGTCCAAGTGACAAGAAGGGACAAAGTCCGCAATCAGACAATACGTCAAGATCTTGATACCCAGCCCTTACTAACCCGAGTGGATCAGTCACAGTTACGATGGTTTGGACATGTGTGCAGAATGGGAGAAAATCGGCCACCATGGCAAGCATGGGAGGCTAAGAACCAGGGAACCAGACGTCCGGGACGACCCAGGGTGCGCTGGGAAGACAACATCCGACAGTCCCTGACTGACAGAGGACTGGAATGGAACAAAGCCAGAAAGAAAACTGCTGATAGAGACGTCTGGCGATCTCTCTGGCAAACCTCTACACCCCAAGGTAGAAGAGGAGCGACTAAGTAAGTAAGGCTCTGTCTCTCTCCGCAGAACAGCCAGCTGCCTGCTGAGAGCGGCACAAACAGCATGAACACCATAGCTCCCGCGAGGAACCCCAGGTATCTGCAAAAACTGCACTGCAAACATTGCACTCGTGAACCAAAACGAGGCAGCTAGGAAATGAGCCAACAACCTTCTGAGCGCATAGCAAATGACTTGACCACTTTGCCATGGAGACTGCTTTAAACATCTGGATCCAGATGTAGACTAAGTCACCCAATATGTGTGCTCATCCATCTTCTTCTACTACTCCTGGAATGCCTCTGGCGACAGGGCAGGAAATCTCTGGAATGGGCCTTCTGTTCACTTTGTATATAGTACTTTCTAATGTCTCTGGTACTTCTACAGTAAATCTTCTCGTTGGCCGACATCTGGTTTTGTTACTGTTGCATCTAAATAACACTGTTTTCCGTGGTGCCCTATCTGATGCCAATCTTGTTACACAGCCAAATCATTGATGTGTCTACCCGCCCACAAATACATTTACAGTATTTACGAGAAAATAGGCAAACAGGTTTTAGTTTGACATCATAAAATGCATGAACTCTCTCAGCTTGTAATGGTTTGACTGCTACTTGTTATACATGTCCCTTACATGATGAGATGATGTACGTAAAGCCTAAACCACATGCTCAACATTTCATGTCACAGCTGGTTTTAAAGCACACACATAAAGGGTCTACCTCTTCATCCATGAGAACATCCAAGCCAACCAGCCTTGATGCACCTCCCCACATGTGCCTCCCTTGGGTGGGTTCACACCTCCTGCAAGAGGATGCCCTGAGTGAAGCATGTACAGATGGTCCTTACTTGGGATGGGAAGGCTCAAGTCTTGGAAAGTCTCTTTGGTTGTTGAAACCTGGAAAGAATGCAGCCATATCAATTAAACCTGATGTTAGAATGTATACATAATTTTTGAATGATACAACTGATGCATAACAAGTTTAATGTTGTCAATGCCCTTTAGCAGTAGTGAACAACATGGAAGAATGGGCAGATCGTCATGGTCTTGAGAGAATGGTGCAGACAGAAATGGCCTAAGGATCTGGCCAACACTCAATACTCAGAGGAAAAGCAAGATGGACATATAATCAGACAGTGGCGCTGTGATTTATGTCACAGGCGTGAGGGGAAGTTAAGCCCAACATGACGTGTATAAGGAGATACTCCATACGTCACTCGGGCGCCAGTCCTTTACTATCCTGGTTGTACGGAACCTCACGCAAGACCCCTACAGCACGTCCTCGTCGTGCGCCACGGATAATGTCTCAAATGAGCATTAACAGAGCTGTCAGGGGATCTTGGAGTTTGGCGGCCCCCAGAGGTGATGTGTCCTTGTGGCTCTCATCAGCCCGCCCCCAAACGCTTGGGTGAAAAATATTATCAAAACTCATTAGGAACATGAGTAGGGTTGACAAACATACAGCTAAAATTACAACCTTTGGTTAAAAGACTGCTGAGTAAAGAGATCATTGCTCACTGCACATCATCTGTTAATTCTCAGTGTCGTCGTCACCGCGCTGAGGTACAACCACAACAGCAACCCTCCATAGGCTGGCCATCCTTGTACATCCTCGGTTGGCCCTCAGTGTCGTCGTCACCGCGCTGAGGTGCACCACAACAACAACCATCCATAGGCTGGCCATTCACGTACATCCTCGGTTAACCCTCAGTGTCGTCGTCACCGAGCTGGGGTACACCACAGCAGCAACCATCCATCGGATGGCTAAGCCTAAATGTCCGACAAAACTAGATCATACGGATCAAAATCTGACCATCAAAATTTGCACTGAACTGAAAAAGACCGAATATCCACACCCAAAGACCCCACTCGCCCGAGTGTTGGGACAAAACTGATAACGATGCGCCTGATTCAGGATGTGAAATTCTGTCAGGCTAATGCACCTATCTGTGTGGTCACAAAAGTCCAAAACCCATGGGCTGCTCCCCGCTGACTTCCAGAGGGCGCAGCCCATGTCGAGTGGGAGGCCTGATACGGTTGTGAGGTTAAGCAGGCATGTGCAGGACGTGACGATTCCTTGGGTGAGCCCAGAATCAGAGCAATATGTGCCGGCTCTGCCTGCATGGAAGCCTCCTTGGATGGCGGGGAATGCCCATGATCTGCCCCTGCCTTCCCTTGAGGGCCAACTGTTCCACAGGGGGCTGCCCCAAAGGGGTACTCTGGGGGCAATACCTGCGGCGAAGGAGACAAAATGGACACCACACAAATTAGGCAAACTTCTCGACCCACACAAAACAATGGCCACAGTCACCCTAGAAATAGGCCTGACGTCTTCCTTCGAAGTCGGCGTACAGCTGCCCAAGAGGCAAGGAAATGAAAAACGGTTGTACACGCAAAAATCAGGTCCAGGTGAAAGCCAAAAGTCCAAGCGGACGATTAACAGGGACCTTCCACTGGAATTCATAGCCGGTGTTCGATTAAAAAAAAAAATAAAAAAAAATAATCAGACAGCTACTGACATCACTTATACTGTAACATTGTACTGGCTGCTGAAAATTGGGATGGAGCAGGTATGTTAACTGCAACACATATAAATTGATAGCATTCTGGTGGCTTGTTTCTGAGCATCGAATATTTACAACGATTCCGAATAACACCCTGCTAACACCGTGGAAGCCATAGCAATTAAGCAGTTAGGAACTTGCATGCAGCCCAGTGGTTATGAGTTCAAATGCCTATGAAGGAGAGAATTTTTCAAATGACTTCCGTTCCCACGTCAATTTACCTTAAAACTTCTTTGCATTCACCAGATGTAAACCCCAGCAGAAAGTTCTGGCTGTTTTTCCTCTTTCTGGACTCTGATCTTGATCCCGAAATTGAGTTTTATGTGCTCATCCATTTTACAGATCTGGCTTATCTGTATGCAGACTGGTGGTTCCTTGCCTCTCGTGCAGATGCACTCTTGACTTTGAAGGAAACACCCCTAATTACTCACTTTCTACAACGTGCTTGGTAGGGGTGGGAAAGGGGAAGGTGGGGGCCAGTGGGTTGCTTGTACTCCAAAAAAAAGGCCCTAGGACCCACAGTTAGAACATGTATCAGGAAATGTTCTAGAAACTATGTGTTGCAAGTGAGACCACATAATCCAAGTGCTTACTGGTGGTGTAAGAAGTATGGTCCCAGCAACTATGCAGCAAATGCATCTCAAGGCATGGAAAAGGATTCTTTACTTTTTCTTTAAGTAAAAAATGTTAGCATTCGGGTTTCTTTCAAGTGACCAAATAACACAAACTGCTTTTAAGAAGCTCGGCAAAACAATAATATTTAATATTCACTTCACAAACATTCAGAAGTATTGCTTTTTAAGTCTGTGGTGAAGCTCCTGTCATATTCAATTTTAACACCCGATCTGTATAAATTACAGAAAACTGCTCACAAATGAGCTGCCAAAAACAAAATCCCTCTCTTGTTCTGCCACTTCCAGTACAGCAGAATGTTAGATATGTCTAAAACATAATGCACCTTTTTTTTTAGTATCATCGTTAACCAGCCTGCTTTTTTTTTTATATGAGAATATAAATGGCAGCTAAAATTGTCAGACATTTCACATACCGTTTCACAGTTAAGACATCGAACTGAACTGAGGATTTTCCCATCAAATGTCTGAGAGATGATGCTGTCATATTTGATGTTTTTCACTTTACCTACAAACCAAAACAATAAGTACAATGTTTGCCGTCATCAGTTCATAAACGAAATACATTCACCATGCTTTTATTACAGTTATTTTCTGCTAACTATTAAATCAGTCAACCTCCCCGTGAGGGTTCGGACTCCATTTCAGAGAAGAAAGAACAGACCCAGTGCCCCCCCAACAAGCATGTCATAAGTAAAGTTCCCATTCAACTCCAGTGGTATACTGGACATATGAGGCTAGACTCACATTTTTAAAGACCAATCTGTATGTGATGGGTGATGTGGTCAACATCAGGCCGGCTGCCTTTACTTCCCATGACTTTACCTGGACACATCTGAGACTGGGTCGACATGGAAGACAAGGTTTTTTTCTTTTAATCTGGCTCTATGCAGATTTGAACCTATGACTTTCAGATCCACAGAGGTCTGGCCACTACACCATGGCGGCTTCCAAGCATGTCATAGGAGGTCATTAATGTGTTTCCTTCAAAATCGATGTGCATTTGCCTTAGAGGCAAAGGAACCTATAGTCTGCATACAAATAAGAAAGATCTGTAAAACGGATGTGCACCCAAAACTCAAGCTCTGGATCACTAAAAGTTGACGTGCTAATAGTATCGTTTGCAGCATGATTAAAAGTCCACCTCAATTTCCCCTTCAGTGTTGAACCTCTGCTGCTGGGCGGCACTGTAACCATTCTTCACCATATGCCATCTTTTCAGTTACACATTCCTGTAAATGACAGCCACCTTTACATTCAGGACATTTCATGATACTTATTTTAGACTGTGGCCTAGGTATGTTATTAAAATCTGCCTCAGTGGGGAATCAAACTTGAGCCCTTTAGTCTGGAAGGTAAGCTTCTGCTTATTATGTATTGCAGCTGACACGGTTGTACACCGTACTTTGGTATTTTTAATTTCCTCTTTCATCCTCAGCTTTTTCTTTCCCCATCATCATAGTCTCGTAACACCACATATCATGGGATCATCAGTTACTGTTGACTGTTTCATTAGTTCCTCCTCATCTCTGTCGGTCAAATGCAGTGGACCCGATAATTGCCTGTCCATTAAGCAAAATTCTCTGTCCAAGTATTTCTTGGTCTGCATCTTCCCATTTACCAAGCCCCATAGTATCATTTTAGAAAGACGGATCATCTTGTACTTGTCAGTACGATTGCATTTTCTGTCATTTCTCTAGGAAGATACTGAACACATTTTGAGCAGAGGAAGCAACCCTGACTGACTCCTACTGTTATTCAAACCACCTACTCATGTGTCTGTTAAGCATGACCTCATTGCTGGCTTGGCTTAAAAAAGCTATACTGTTTTGGTTTCAATTTCATCATGAGCTTTCAATGTATAATATTTTGGTTGATAGTTAAGTATGACTTTGTTTGAAAGTTTGTTTCTGTTTTTTTTTTTTCATTTGTCAAGATTCGGGGACAGATTTTATGCTATTGGCTTTTCCAACACTGTGCCTTTCACTCTTTTTGAATATTCCATTGGACTACTTTTCATCCATCTCCGATCAAACTAAATGGTACCTTCTGCATCTGGGACTAATGATTACGCAGGTAAACAAGCTCTACAAACTCACAACTGAACAGGCAGGCTTGTGTGGCATGTGACATTGTGAGGCATGTGACATTGTGTGGCATGTGACACATGTGGGGAGGGATAGAGAGAATAGGAGAATTGTATGATGTTTTTCCCCAACAGTGTAAACTATGACAAAAGAATAGAAAAACAAAAAAAACTAACAAACATGACTGACAATGACATACACCCCTGACTACAAGAAGAAAGAGAAGACTAGACAATCAGGACTTCAATACCATAAACAATGCCAGAAAGAGAGACAGCAGACAAGACAGACATGACCAGCCAAGACAGAACATGAATTAAAGGAAGAGACTGGTAACAGTTTGTGCAGAATTTTTAGATTCAAAGCAATCAGCATGTGATGGAAAATGAGGACTGTGGTAAACAGATGTTTAAACAGAGATGTTGCAATAGTTCACCTAGATCAGTGTTCAGCAATGTCACTAGTCATGAGTCAAACATCAGCAACAGGACGATACAAAAAAAAGTTGAGAGCCAAATTTATTTTTAAGAACCACATTTTTCGGAGTGAAAACCAATTTGAGGCCGACCCGCACTCAGGTCATCTAAGAATGTATGCGGCTCATGAGCCACGATTTGCTGACCACTGACCTAGATGATCACAAAATTAAATGATGAAGACAGCTATCATTAACAAAACAAATACAGTCACATATTGGACATTACGTGGTTTAGATGTCTTGCTGGCAGGCGCTACAGGCATCGACTGAGTCTGCTGCTGTTGTTGCTGTTGCATTGGTTGGAGATGCATTGATGCCACTAGTGGCTGGATCACAGATATATGTCCCTCTGACTCCTTGACTGGCAAACAGGAAGCAGAACTGCCTTGTTCTCTAGAGTCCCCACCTTCCATGACTGCCCTGCTCCGAACAGGGCGACGTCCTTGAGTTTCTGACTCATTCTTTTTCTCCAGTAAGTTGGCTGTCTCTTTCATCTCTTTTGTGTTTGCAACCTGAATCATTACCAAAATATTTGAAAATGCCAAGATACAGAGTTAAACAACTTAAATATGGGTGTTAGCTATGTGCTAAATACAAAATACACTGTTGAAAAAAATATGTCATCCCAAAATACAGGCTGCCACAGGCATGGATTCAGTGGGACTTCACACTATTACTGAAGCCAGATCTTTGAGCTGTTACAACTAAAAGAAACTGCCTAGATGGATTGTACAAAAATACAAAACCATGCTATATTTGTCTGATCAACAGCATTCTTTAGCTTTCACCGTAAAACATAAATTCTTGCTTCTTCTTCTTGTGCGTTCATCCGAAGATGTAACAGTGTTGTGCCTGTTTACAGCATGGCTGGGATATTTGCTAGTTTTGGCAACACACCCGACTTCTGCAGGCATTTGTTGACCGGGTTAGCCTTCCTAGTTATTCTTTCTTTACAGTGATAGTTCCAATCAGCCACCTGGACATACGTTTCCCCTGGCAATTATGGAAAAGGAATAACTCCACTGTACTTAACAAGAAAATCTGTTTGTTTCCTTACCTCCAGTGTAAGATTACCTCAACACGTATGCTCAAAATGCCCCAGAGAGTTATTTGTTGTAGCTTAAATTATATGCGGACAGTTACTTATCCACAAGAACCCAGGATAACGCCTTCGGAGCCAGAGAATAGATATTTTTAAATGAGAATCACTGAATTCCGGACTATAAGACCATCAGCCTACAGCAACAAACTGCATCAGCTGTATGCTTACTAACATGAATATTAATGGGCTGCTCTGTTTTGGCAACTACAATCTGAGCCAGTTAACTTCATAATAAGGAGACAGACCAACATCCAAGCTGAAATAAGTAGTATGGAATGTGGAGTCTTCAGTGCGGCCTGAAACAGTCATGTACACTATATCTGCATAAGCTGGGATAGTCACGGACAGGATTCTTCTTCTTCTTTAAAGTATTTGCCGGTTATCTTCTACTTCTTCTTCTTTGTGTATACCGGCTTTAAACTCTGGTGGAAAGTTCTGGTTGTTCATCCACTTCTGGACTCTAGTTCTGTTCTAGAAACTGAGTGTTGCATGCACCTCTGTTTATAGGTCTGTCTCATTTGCATGCAAACTGTTGGTTATTTGCCTCTCAGGCAGATGAACTCCAATTTTGAAGAAAATTCTCAATTAGTCGACTCTCACGACATGCTTCTGGGTAGGCAGTGGATCTGTTCTTGTTTTCCCCATAATGGAGCCCCCGCACCCACACGGTGATCGCCGGTTGCAATGTCTGGCAGAAAAGTATGGCTGTCCTTTCATTTCTGGACTTCAGGCTTTTTCCAGGATTTGAGTTTTGCGTGCACATCCCTTTTACAGATCTGTATGCAGACTGATGATTCATCACCTCTCAGGCTGATGCACTCCCGCTTCGGAGGAAACTTCCTTAATAAGTATCCTTGTAAGACGTGCCTGTTAGGCAGGCAATACGTCTTTTCTTTTCTCTGGCCGTCCAAGGTATTCGTCTCAGAAACCACATCCCTGTTGCTTCCAAATTCTTCTTAATTTGTTCACTGACATTCCAAGATTGGCTGCCATACAGCAGAACAGGCTCCATGTAACATTTTAGCACTCTTTCTGTGACATTAAATGAGAGCAACTTATTACATAAGATATTTTTCATTTTCTGAAATGCTGTTTTAGCTTGACCTATTCTGCGTTTAATCTCTGTCACACATATTCCATCTGATAATATGATTGTTTCCAGATATTTGAATTTATTGACTTGGTTAAGTCTGTTTAATTCAATTTTAATTCAATTGAGAAATCCTATGTGGCAACACTAATTTGTCCCTGCCTGATTACGAGATGATGTGGCCAGTTTTCTCTTGAGTTCCCTGAAAAATACATGGTTGGCATTAAATATTAGGTCAAATACAGAGACACACCTGGTTAACTCCACACTTCTGATCCACAGACAATGGAGTGAACCCAAACTGTTTTGCTGGTAGGTCAGTGTGTTATTTGTACACTGAGTGATCGGACAATTAGTGACAAATTAATTGGAAGCGGCAGAGGTGTGGTTTTATAGATGAATGATGAGACAGATAAAGATAGTAATGAAGATGTCTTTAAAGACACTAACTCATGAAGATAACTAACTGCCTAAATCAGAAAGAAAAATCAACATTCTTAGGTCATGTCATCAGAAAGAGAAAACTGGAGTACGCTGGATGGTGAGAGAATTAGTGAGGAAATGACGCTGATGAAGACGGAGACAGGGGATGCTGGACAGTTTGGCATCATGGCATGCAAGGTCATCTGTGTCAGAATTGATTGAATGTACACAAGACAGCAGGTTTTCGGACTACCAATGCAAAAAAAGGTGCAGAGAAAGAACAAACACCAGATTAAATTACTGGAGTGTTAGATTGTATCACTTAAGCATTTGTATAACTGTTACAACAGAACCCTTACCGAATCATTGTTTTCTAGGACTGGTAAACAAGCAGAGCTAGGTTTCCGCATTCTCTCAGGATGCCGCAGCTTGGACACCTCATTTCCATCGCTGTTGTTTTCATCACTGGATCCATTATCTCGCTCACCACTGGAGCTTCTCTCGCTGCTTAAGCCCGAGTCACATGTTTCATAGTCAAGCTCTGATTGGCTACTTAGAGAATCAAATGATGGCCGTCTGTTGACACACTGTGAAACCTGAGAGGGCAAGAATGTCAACAATTAAATGTATAAGTAAATGCACAATTGACTGTTTATGTGATTGTTTACACTTCTTGGTTTCTTGCCTGTCAGGCTGAAGCACTTCAAAGGAAACACCCCACTAATTGGTCACCTTCTAGGACAAGCTTGCTGGGGGAAAGTGGGTCTCTTCTTGTTTCTCCTCAAAATCAGGTCCAAGAATCCAGAATCCGCATGAGAAAATATTGTTTGTGGGCCTTTTTTTTTTTTTTTTTTAATTTAACCCCAGCAGCATCTCTCTATGTTCTATCCATTTCCATTTCCTACCAGCTAGAAATTGTTCACATGCACAAAGTACACATTTCAGCTTTTGCAGAGAAGAGATATCATATCCCCTACCCGCATCGATCGCATGGAAATATTTTGAAAATCTCAGTTTTTGTTATAAAAGTCCCTATCATAGCTAGTATTTGAGGTGGACCTTTTAGCTCTCTATTCTCTCTATAAACACCCTAGATACATAAAAATGTTCTTAGCTGGGATTGAACTCACGTCACCATTTTAGCAGGCCAGTCTGCTATCCTGCCATCATTCTTGAATAGAGACATATCCGTGTGGGTTCCGGGGCCCTACTATGGGAAAAACAAGAATAGACCCACTGCCTATCCAAAAGCATCTGGTAAGAGTTGACTAATTGGAAGCTTCCTTCAAAGTCGGAGTGCATCTGCCTGAGAGGCAAGGAACCAACAGTCTGCATACAGATCTGTCAAACGGATGCACATGCAACACTCAGGTTCTGGAACAGGACTGCAGTCCAGAAGTGGACGAACAACCAGAACTTTCCGCCGGAGTTCACAGCCGGTGAACGCAAATAAGAAGAAGAAGAATAGAGACTATAAATATGAATTCAAATAATCAATTTGCCAAAGGTATTATTTTACTGTTGAATACAAACACTTTGTGATAGCTCCAAGGTATAATGTATTCTTTGTTGTTCTATTTTACTCTTAGATACATCACTGTGATTTTGGCTGAGATAGATATGCCTCCTGATTTCTTTTCAGAACAATTCAGAGTCAATTATAGCAGGCAATAAACTGTGCAATGCATTATTTGTGTTTACATTATTTCAATTTACCACAATAAAAACATTATCTTGAGACAGATAAACCAGGCAAAATTGCAATTAACAACTAAAGCTGCAAGATAAGTGCAAACCTTCTGATCTGCCGATATCTCTTCTGCACCAATTGCATTGTTTGAATCATCATCATTTTCTCCACCTATGTCTTCATCTTCACTATCACTGTCATCGGAGTAGGGAACTTTCAGTTCCTCATGTAACTGATCCATCAGACATCGAAGAAACTCTTGTGCATCCTAAAAAATTTTAAACAAAACAGGAAATTACAAATTTGGTGTTAATAAAAACATATTTATAACACTGACATGAAACTTTAAAAGAAATAAGAAATCTTTTCAAGAAAAGTTGCCATGAGGCATATGTTGCTAACTCCATATTTTATAGACTAAATGGCATTCAATGGGTGTTTGGCCATTATCATGCCAGTCACCTTTACTTTCATGAACATTTCCTGGTATTCATTTTTTTAGGCTGGGTTGATTTACAGCCAAGCTTAATTTAAAAAAACAGAAGCAAAATGTGAACAAAAATTTGTACCAGACGAACAAACAAAAGCAAACTTAATAAAAGCTTTAAAAAAAAAAAACGAATGGTAAAACTGTATTCAATCAAACAGGCATGTTGCAAGAAGCAGCTAAAGAGGGCTGACATGAGACTGGATACATTATCCCTGCTGCAACCTGAGGGTTGGCATGAGACTACACTGCACCCGGTTGCAAAATACATCCAATCATGAACAGAGTCTAAATATTCCCTTTGTATTAATTAGTATCTGCCAGAAGATTTTTAATTTCAATACCCTTTACTTTGGTATGACCCGGTGTGTATGTCTTGGTGGGTGATATGAAATGCAACTTCCTAATGTTGTCTGCACATTAAGTGTGGAAATTATTTTCACTGAGTCAGATGTGACTACCACATATGTGGGCGCTTGCTGATAGAATAACATTCTATGCTAATTAAGCGAATTAAATGACATACAATGATGAATTCATTCATTTTCTTAGGAAAAGTGTCCCTTATGGATATAATTATTTCTGAAACAGAAGCAACTATCTGGAACAGCAAGTGTTAAATAATAACTAGGAAAGTATAGATTAACTCTTTCGGTACCGAGCAACTCATAACAGATTTACTGGTTACTAAAAGCAACTATCTGGGACAGCAAGTGTTAA